CTGCTCACACCTGCTCACACCTGCTTCTGTTCTGCTCAACCCAGGTTTCCACTCTCTGCACACGCTCCTTGGGGTACACTGTCTCCCTTTGTACAACCTGCTGCACTACATCGATAATGGGGTGCTGCTACTCACGGAGACCGCGGTCACCAGGCTAATGAAGGGTAAGCTTGTCTGAGTTGACCACAGCTGGGGGGGGGTTCAGACAGGACACCCTCAGGGCTGGCTTCTGGCCGTGAGACACTCAGTCCGGCTACACTCAGAAGGGCCCACACACAGCTTAATGTTCTGCAGAATATAGTGAAGTTGTTTTTGAGACAGGGTATCTCTGTGTAGCCTTAGCTGTCCTGGAACTCACTCTGTAGACCAGGCTGGCCTTAAACTCACAGAGATCCGCCTGTCTCTGCCTCCCAAGTGCTGGGATTAAAGCTGTAATCCACCACTGCCTTGAAGGTCTTATTATTTGAGCATCTGTCTCTTTATTTTCCCCGTTCACTGGGCCCTACAAATTCTTAGTACAGCCAACTTCCTAGAATGTCCCTTCAGGCCAGTTGACAGTTCTTTAGCCCTGGAGAACTGAATTCATACATTGCCTTTAGTTTTTTTTTTCTGTATATGAGAGTTTTTACTATGAAGAGACTATGTATATGAAGTTTCTGTATATGATGTTTTTACTATGGGAGACTCTGAATTTGTTTTTCAAGAAAGCATTGCGAATGGCTTACTTTCGGCTAATTAATTTTGTCACCTTGGATTAGACTTGGAATGCATGCAAAACCAATGAGAGACACAGCGCTTGCGTGAACCTGAGCGTTATGGTCCACCTCGTAATCTTTCCCACGGAAGCCGTTCGGGCGTGTGTGTGTGTGTGTGTGTGTGTGTGTGTGTGTGTGTTTTGCTAATTTGTCAGAGCACCTGCCGTGTTCCTCAGCGGGCCTCACGCTTTCAGACAGGGGATGGAATTGCTCGGTGGCTGGCAGCCTGTTACAAAACAAAAGTCCCCTTAATTCTGAGTCACAAGCAGCCTGTTACAAAGCAAAAGTCCCCTTAATTCTGAGTCACAAGCAAAGCTTTCAGAACATTACTAGCTGTGACCGCAGGGCTGGAACATCTCAGGAGGAAGCATTTCATGATTTAAAATTCGCTGCTGTATTGAAATGGATATCTCTATCTTATTTGTTAATCTCCAACTCTCTTGTAGATCTGGACAATTCAGAGAAGAATGAAAAGCTGAAATTCAGCATTGTCGTGCGGCTCCCTCTGGTAATCCTAAAATTAATTTCCGCTCAAGCCTCGTCCACCCTCCCTGCCATTTGTGTCTTGTAAGAAGGCAGCTCCCTTGTAGGTGGAGATCAATTGAGTGGGTCCACTTTTCGGCCTTTTCCGTGAGATTCCATTCACCCCCACCCTCTGCATAGCGGGTGCTTCTCGGGTTGGCAAGGTGGACGCCGTCTCCTCTTCGGCAACCACGCCAATGTTTACATGGGAGTCTGAGTGGGAGGCAGAGGGGAAACATGTGCCTTTGACATTTATACTGATAAGGCTTTGAGCACAGGTGAGGCCCGGAGGTTCTGGAATGGTGTTTCCTCCTCCTCTTACATTTCTGAGCACAGGCAGACACCACCCGACCAAAGGAAGAACAAAAGCACAGGAGGAAAACGTCAGGAAGGCACTCCTTGCTCTTTTATGGGGTATTTGCTCTCAGGGTCAGAAACATGAAAACATGAAATTCCACAGCAAGGTCTCTCAGCCCCCTCACTTTGCAAACTTCCTGACCCCAGAGCCTGGCCAGGGTGCTGTTTACATACCAAGAGCACGGGACCTCTGGCACTGGCCATCCTGTGCCTCGTGGCTTTCTGGACCTGGTGGCTTTACCTTGTCGTGGTCCTTCCTGTCACCGGCTTCCTAGGAACAAAGTACCCACCTTTCCCCTGGCTCTGACGACTCCCAGAGGAACAGTCTTGATATTTAGTTTGGTCTCCAAATTTGACTTTTTTGCCCCTATGAATTCGAGTATTTTAAGTTTCTGGGATAGATAATGGAAGAGAGACCAACAAAAGCACACACGCCACCGTTAGCTTCCCGTCAGAGTGTCACCCAGGGCTGCCACGCTCGTCTCCAGCTCGGAAGGATCTCAGACCCAACATCATTCCAGGGAAAAGAAGGAAACTGGCAGCATGGACGCCCAAGTTGCTCTCCTCACGTTGAGGAAAGCCGCGGGAGGGCTTATGAACACTTCAGAAGCATATCTCTTGAGCTTGGCCTTTCTCCAATGGTCATGAGTCAGGGAGGTTCTACATCGCTTTGGGACGATCATGTAGAAGTCAGACGCTGGTATGTGGTCTGTTCCACGCACTATGACCTACGCTCTCCTCTGTGATCTTTACCCGCACTCTAGTGTACCGGGCAGAAAGTCTTCAGGCTTTGGGACCATCCCATGAGCTCCAACATCATCTCCCGGAACCACGTAGCACAGATGCTCGGGAGCTACAAGAAAGAGGTGAGCCTCAGTGACGTCCAGGCAGTGAGTGTTGCGTGGACGCGGTGACGTCCAGACAGTAAGCGTTGCGTGGACACGGTGACGTCTAGACAGTGAGCGCTGCGTGGATGCGGTGATGTCCGGGCAATGAGCGTTGCGTGGACGCGGTGACGTCCGGGCAGTGAGCGTTGCGTGGACTCCACCTGCATCCCCGACAGACGTGATTCTGTTTTCTATCATTCTGTTTAAAGCTGGATATGTCTTCAAGAAGCGGTTCGTATATAGGGAGTGTTTTCTCTTTCAGCCTCGAAACTCTATGATTGGCAAGTCATCGTTCTCAACGGAATTTCTGCCCCTGAACTACTTTGTTGACATTCTGGCAGGCCTGGAGTCCTCGCACCAAGGTAGTCCACTCCCCCGTCTGACTTAGGAGTTTCCTTGTGTTGGTCATGGCCCGGTCACAGCTCGTCCTGTTTCCTTCCCTAAACGCCCTATGAGTCCTTACTAAAACTGATTTTAATCAGAGAGAATACCATACTTCCTAAATTACCCAAGGAATTCTTATCTTTGAAGATTGAAAGGGGCTGGAGGTGTTTAGGGTCTGCTCTGGTTGATATGAATGTTCTTTAGTGCCAAACTTTAATGAAATCAACACTCATTTAGTTGATAGTAGGGGAACCTGCATAGGACCAGACTAGGCCCTCTGAGTGTGGGTGACGATTCTGTGACTTGGGCAGAGTCCCATTGGTAGTGGGACTAGGATTTATCCCCAGCGCATGAACTGGCTTCTTGGAGCCCATTCCCTATGAAGGGAAACCTTGCTCAGCCTCGATATGGGCTTTGGTCCTTCCTCAACTTGACATGCCAGACTTTGCAGCCTCTCCATGGGAGGCCTGACCCTTTCTGAGGAGGGGATGAGGGATGGGGGGGCGAGAGCAGGGAGGGAGTGGAAACTGTGGTTGGTATGTAAAATGATGTCCCCGTGAGTTGTACGAATAAAGCTGCTGTAGATGGCCATGGCTCCACAGTGACTCACTCTCTCCCTTCCGCAGCTTCGAGGGATTTCGAAGGCCATGACAGCGTGGACGCAGACTTTGTCGAGGAAGCTGCTCTGAAACACACCTCGGTGCTTTTGGGTTTATGAAAGTCAGTGTGCAGACGGCCTGCATTCAGCGTCTCAAGGCTGTTCCCCCGCCCCTTTCCTGGGAATTCTTTAGTGCTCCTTAAGAGCGGTAACAGGTCAGAATACACCACAGAGCTCCTTGGGCTTCGGTTTAGGTCTCGTGAAAACTGAGCGCGTGCTGCGCCCCGTCCAGTGCGTGAGCGAGCGCCCGCGCCCTGTCCAGTGCGAGCAGCCAGAGAGCACTCAAGAGTCAAGATGGCATCTTGTGTATGGCAGGAACGGTGCTCTTCCTGGCGGCTCAGTGGGCCCGGAGCTAGTTCTGCTGCGGTCCAGAATCAAATAAAAAACAGAGGGGACGGTGCTTAGAACGGGAAGAGCTAGACAGACTGCTGGAAATAACATAAGACGAGCAGAAAAATTAAATGTTGCAAAGAGGATTTAAGAAGAACCTAGATTTGTACTAAACAAGACCTACCATTTCCAGCGCGAAGTAACTGTGACAAACGGCGTTTGTACGTACAGGACGTAAGCAGCCTCTGCCTGTGCGGTGGTTCAGAGGAATGTGTATTTAATGTTTGTATTAATGGAAGTCTAATTTAGCAACGCCCTCTCATTAAACATGACCTCCAGTGCGGACAGCTTTGGTCTGACGCTTCGCTAAGTTTTGAGCATAGCCTTTTTATTGGCGCGGGGCGTGGTGAGTCTATCTGTGTGTTCCTGCAGGAGCCCATGACACATGACATCCTTTCTCATCTGTGTCCTACATCAGGGTCACCCTGACTCACAGGGCTCAACTTCCCCCGTTCAGTTCTGCGTTTTCCCCTTCTGCTGTTTCCCTTCCACGTGGTGAAAGCTTTAATGACTTTAAATGTCGCTACCTCGCGCCAATCCACCTCATTTTCTGCTGCCTCTGTTGTCTCTGGAAGCTGCCCTGGCCTATAGAATGTCTCTCCTTGCTTCAGATCAGCCAGGCGTGGGATGTTGGCAATTATTCAGCACTGTGGAAACGCTGTCTATCTGTATTACTTCTCTCACAGATAACTCTGTACTGGAGAAGGCAGATTTTATTTAGTTCAGATTAAATTTAAAAAAAAAAATCCTCTTTGCAAGTAAAATTCTCACAGAACATTTGTGGGTTTAGCCCTTCATCTGGTTTTGCTCAGTTCACTTCCCTCCATCCTTAGAGTAAATGGTTTCCTCCCATTCTTTGCCTTTGTTCATTTCTGTCCATACCTGTGTTGTTCCTTTGGGTCCCTAAGCTGAGCTTATTTGACACAGATTTGAGGTAAACATCGGTTTGACTTGGACACTTGGCTTGTTATTATTCAATAACTTGCTATTCATTGAAAGATAACATGCAAACTCCTTGGCATTTAATTCTGAAGTTTTGGCCCTGTAAAATATGAACATCCTTTTTCAGCCAAGCCGATTCACTGGGTCTTAGAGCATGAGTTTGACCTTCTTATTTCTAAAGTTGGATCAAGTTTCTTCCTCCACTTAGACTTCCTCTCTCTACCTCACAAAAAAAACCTCACTTCATGCTCTAGGGCTAGACAAACAAGCACACACCCACACACACCTGACTGTAAGCCAAGACATGTCAGCACCTGGTAACATCTGCCTTTCCTCAACCAGCAGCACACACCGCAGTGTTTGAGAATCCATCCCTTTCCCTTATTGTGGCATTTAAACTCCCTCTTTGCATGCTTTGAATCCTTAAAGAGGTTACCAGCTCCCATGACACAGGAACCGTTTAGATGTGCAGTATTTCTTTTATTAGCTAAATGACTCAAACAGCTAAAGGCTCTCACAGCTGTTTGCTTTACCACGATCTTGCATAGCAATGAGGCCAGCTTCAGGACTCACAAGATTGGGGTATTTTATATTTACTGTCCAGTGTGGCAGGACCTAGGGGCTTGGAACAGGATGTTAACAAAATAAAAGTATGGTATTTCTCTGTCTCCAGAACTGAACATGAGTGAAATTCACAAGGGCAACCAGCACAAAAGAATAGCTCAAACATATTAGTAAATGTTCAAATGCGGGTTTCACATACTAGCGAATCATCAAGTCTAATAAAAGCACTGCAATCAGAAAATACATGGGTGAAATGAAAATTGAAGCAAATTAGTAAAACTGTTCCTACAGGAGTTATGTAGGGGCAGAATTTTGGCAGAGATCTTGAAAATCAGGTATTAGAATTGAAAATGCTCATGAACTTGTTTGTGAAAATGTGCTTTTAAGAAATGAATTAGGGCTTAAATATTTTTGCCACAAAAAGAAAAAAAATCCCTGTACAATTGAACTGTCGTAGCGTTGCTTGAGCAGCAAGCTTCCCATTGCTCCGTACAGCTTCAGGTGCGGCTGCAGAGGGGACCGTCGGTGTTCCTTGTCGGGTGTCTCTCGGGCTCCTTCCCCCGTCAGACAGTCAAATGGGCACACATAAACACATAACCTATTTTTTCCTTTAATAGAAAAGACCACTCTTATTTCTGTGCATCTCTGAGAAGCTAATTATATTTTGTACTTTTACAGCATTTTTCTACTATATATTCCTGAAGTATAGTCGACATAAACAGTAAAAGAGAAAGACATGAGCAATGAAAATACACTCTTGACTAATTGTAGTCTGTGCTCCATTTGACGTCACACAGTGTGGTGAGAGGAAACCGAGTCCCGCTCCCTTGTTGACTTTGCCCAACTGATGGCGGAATTAGCACCCTGGTGGTCATTCCCCCCTGCAGGTGTGAAGCCTGGACCGGTCCACGCGCTTAGATTTCAATGGGCTTCACGACAGGCTTCCTTATGTGTCTCCTGTTGGCTCCAGTTTCCGAGGGCTTAAATGGAGCCAGCGCCCCATACGGTTTGGGCAGAGGAAGCGCGGATTCTGTTTCAGGCATGTAGGCATTTGGGCGCTGCTCTGCCGTTGTGTAAACACCGTTGGGCAGCTGCCGGTAATCTGTTTCCATGTATTCCTGCAAGCGGAGGAATTTCAGGTTACTGCAGTTTTCTGTAGGCACTGGGTCGTAAAGCACAGCCCTAGCTCTGCTGGCTGATACTTACCTGCAGTTGGTTTTTAGTTTTACTCTTTGGGGACCCACCACCCAGCCCCCAAATAAATACACGGAGACCTATTCATGAATGCCTGGCCTTAGCTTGACGTATTTCTAGCTAGCTTTTCTTAACTTAAATTATCCCATCTACCTTTGCCTCTGGGCTTTTTACCTCTCTTTATTCTGTATATCTTACTTCTCTTACTTTGTGGCTGGCTGTGTGGCTGTGTGGTTGGCCCCTGGCGTCCTCCTCTCCTTCTTCTTTCCTTGCTCCTCCTCCTGTTTATTCTCTCTGCCCACCAACCCTGCCCATCAGTCTCTTTCCTGCCTCGCTATTGGCCATTCAGCTCTTTATTAGATCAATCAGGTGTTTTAGACGGGCAAAGAACCACAGCTTCACAGAGTTAAACAAATGCAACATAAAAGAATGCAACCCATCTTTGCATCATTAAACAAACACATTCCACAGTGGAAAAGAATGTAACGTATCTTAAAATAATATTCCGCAACATTCGGCAGAGGGGATGAGGACAGGGGTGGGAAACGGGAAGTCCACCCCACCTCTGTGGCCTGTCGTCTGAATGGGTGTGAGCATAGCTCAAGCACCATGCTGGTGCTGGGGCTTGGTGTGGAAACCCTTGCTCGGTGGGTTCCACATACACCGTCTGTGGTTGAGCTCTGTTATTTCCACAGCTTTGACAAAGGCATTCCTGCTTTTCCTTTGTCACTGGGGGCAAATGTTAGAGAGGAATGATTAGAACGGAAGCAGAAGGAACGGCAAGCCGCGTGGTTTAACCTCAGGGTCAACGCTCTGCCTGTGTTCACAGGAAACAACTCCCCTGGAACGTGAATAATGTGAACTCTATAGTAGAGAAAGACAGAGGGACGCCACAGGGAACCCCAAGTGCCCTAGGAAGGGTGGTCCTAGGAAGCCCAGAATTATAAGCCAGACCCGGTGCTCAGGTGTTCCTACTGTGTCTTTGAATGTACCTTTTAAGATCTTGAATTAGAAAGAGAAACAAGACCCTTGAAGAACCATTCATGTGACAGTCTGAGCAAACTGTCCCCATGTTGTGGTCATCTAGATAAGAGACGCCTCGTTCTAATCTTAAAACCATTGAGAGATCATGGAGTTACAAGGATGAACGAGGAACCAAACTTGCTGGTGGCTTCCGTGATCAATCAAGACCTTGGTCGTTGGGGAGGAGAGAGGGCTGGAATGGGGGTCTACGACACATACCAGGTGTGGTTCTGTCCAAGGCCATGGTAGCCATAATGTGGCTGTGGAGGCCGTGGCAGACGGACATGGGAGAGTCAGGTGTGGTGTGAGCAAGTGTCAGAGGACAGATAAAGCCACGTTAGAGGTAAAGCCAATGTTAGGATAGTCATAGACTTGCTGGGGGAGGCCATAGTGTTCAGACGTCACAGTCAGGGTATAACTGTGGGCTGGGACTTGGTGCTTGTCGGGTGTTCTTCAGGGAGGAAGACGGTGCTTTGGACTACTAGTACAAAGTCTTCTCTCCACACCCAACCCCTTTCTGCTAGCCATTCATTCATATGTGCTGGCGTGGGAGAATTTCACACGCAGGTTGAGCATGCCAACTAGCAAACTCTGAGATCCAAAAGGTTCCAGACTTTTTGAGGGTTGATGTGACATCAAAAGTAGATAATACCATACCCGACATCATATTATGATGGCAGTCAAAGTACAAATATACCAAAATATCATATTAAAATCACCCATGTGTATGAAGTATATATGAAACAAATGAATCTGGGATTTAAAGTTGGGCCCCACTCCCTAAATATCTCATGAAAATCATAGAAAGTTCAACACATCTCTTTTCCCAAGCCTTTCAGATAAGGGGCCATCCACTGCATCATGAGAGGACAGACTCCTAAGGCAACCTCTCCCGGCATACCATGCAGCATGGGAGGCAACACTTACCCGGGACTTCTCAGCGGTGGCAAAGGCATACATTTCTTCATCTCGGAGTACCTTCAGCCAGTCCTTTTCGATTTCTCTGTTGAGTGGCAGGCCCTTTTCTATCCGGGAACTACAGGAAAAGATGAAATCTTCTTTCTCCCTCACCTCCTTCTGGAGTTCAATGGTCAGGGCTTGCTTCATGGACAACTCGGCAACCAGAGCCATCATTTTCTCAGTAGTGTCTTTGATCCGTTTTTGGTAGCCGTTCATCTAGAAGTAGAGGGCCCGAGGTTAGTTGGCAGAGGTATTCCGTGAGGATGCAGAGAAACAAGCAGACTGCTGGCCGCCTGGTGTGGGCAGTCGTCCCTGGAGGAGGGAACCACTGACCGGGATTCACAGAAAATCCCTGCCATGATAAAGCATTGACAGAAGAGACTTGTGGAGAAAGGGCCCTTGGCATACGCTTCTGTTATTGAGGGAAGTCGGGGCAAGAATCCAAGCAAAGACCACAGAGTATTAATCCTGCCTCCTGGCTTATTCTCTGATTCATTTATTGGGTTGTGCTCAGCTAGCTTTTGTACAAAGCCTACATCTGACTGCCACAGAGGGCTAGGCCCCCAACACCAACCATCAGCCACGACATCCTCTTATTGATCTAGGCAGTAGAGGTTCCTTCTTCCCAAGTGACTACAGGTTGTGTCTCATTAACAAAACCAACCAGGATAGAACCCAATGTTTGGTTATGTAAATAAGGAAAAACACGGAAAGAAAGAAAAGGTTTATCTTCCAGTTTGGAGAGCACTGAGGGCTGGCTAGCTTAGTGTTTGTTTTTAGGAGGTAAGGAGGAGAGGGGAGTGTTCTCCATGCCTAAGTTCTGGCCTACTCATAAACTTTGGCTGTAATGATAATATGGGTGTATTGGTTTGAGCCCTTCCAGCTGTTTGAGGGCCTTTCTGGTCACTTGTGTTACAAGTAATTTCCAGAGATTCTGCCATCAGCTTTGAGAAATCGCCTCTCAATAAAAAAAGTGACTTTCTCTCAAGAAAGAAAGGAAAGGAAAGGAAGGAGATGTTTACAGAAACATTGGGGGAGGGTGCTAATTCAAAGCCCATTGGCTTAAATGAATCTTATCATGTCTTTGTTTATGAGGCCCAATTGTATACACTGTGGCTGCTGGGCTCACCAGTGCAGAAGTGCAAAGGCCACATGAAAAGGTGTTTTCACCATTTTTAAGGTGAATTTTCACAGTCGTTTCCAATATAACTTGGCAAAGCTGCCTCTAGCACAGGGCTGAACGTTTACTCACTCCTCCTCAGTTCTCTGGCATCTATTACATGCAGGGTACTGAGAAGCTAAAAGAGGAAGGAAGTCCTACCCTTGGGAGCCTGGTCTGGGGTATCAGAACCCTTCACCCTCACCAGACAGGCAGCTGCACTCAGGGTATGGATGTAGACTCAGACACCTTCGTTTATTTCCTTCTTTCTCACGCTGCCGAGAGAGTGTGTGCCCTTGGCTCTGTGTGTCTGCCTCAGGTGTGGTGGGACAGGATGTAGCAAGTGTTCAGTAGCTTCTGCTAAGTGTCAAAGCCCTCTTCTGGAGGATGCTCAAAGAGCCCACAGAAGCCAGGCAAGCGCACCATCCTCTATGGTGATGGATGATTCTGCCGCCTGTAGCCGCTGCCTTCCTTCCTCCTGCTCGCTGTTGCTGTTAGCAGTGCCACCCCTAGCGGCTTCAAGTCTCCAGCCAGCCTAGGGATTGTGTGGCTGCGGCTGTCTGTATCCAATCGTCCCTCGTCATCTGTGGGTTCTGGCTGAATTCTGTATTGGAGCAATTCCTACTCGGACCCCGGGAAAAGTGAGGCTCTCTGCTTGGAAAGAAATGGAAAGGGTTTTCCTCTGTACACAAACTACAAAGGTAATGATTGTCTTATTTGAGAAGTTCTCTTGCTAACTAAAACTTAAGTGCTGCCCTTGAGAAGCTTAGACTTCTTTCCTGTGAAGTAGAATCTCTCGAGGAGCAGACCGGAACTCGTTCAAGACTAATATTTACATTTTGCTATATTTCTAAACTCATAAAGCTCCATCTCTCTAGTGTTTCACAACAAATTAAGAGTGGGAGGCGAGAGGTGACAGTGGAAGCTGGGGCCCGGAGAGGGCGCGGGGTGGGGAGAGCGATTCGCTCAGGCAGACCTTCTTGGCCAAGAGCAGCGTGTCCTCCCTGCAAGTCTGGGTTTTGCCTCTGAGCCTGTTGGTGAGCTGGGACACGTGCTCATAGATGAAATCCTTCTCCAGTAACTTCTCCTCCTTCTTGGCCAGCTGAAGCTCCAGCTACAGTTGGAAACAATTTCAGCAGGAGTTAAGAACGACTTATGTCAGGCACGGTCTTCATTCGCAGCCGGGCCTCCACCACACGACAGAGACACATTGCTCTCTGAGCTGTCCGGGGACACCTCTGGGAACTCTTCTGCCCTGGGTGGACTATGGGCCTCTGGTACCCACGACGCCAATCTTTCCAGACATCCCCACCAGGGTGACCAATTAACATATTCATTCAAGAAGACAAAATGAGTTATCAGACTAGGAATGAAGGGTGCCTTTGAACTACCGATATTTACTTCCTTGGGTAAATATCTGAATCGAAGGTAGGATTTAGGACTACATTACAACTAGGGAGCAGCTAGTGGCTAGAAGAATGAAGGGTGGGTCTGCCAACACGAGGGGAAGCAGTACCGCAGTCTGCGTGAGCAGAGAGAGGCGTGTTTAAACAGGGCGTTTACCATGTCTAACTTCTTGATCATTTCTTCTTCGGTCAGATCTTTCCCGGGAATGAAGCGGACTCTGCCATTGCTGTTGGGGTTGATGAAGCGTTTCTCCAGGGTTTTGATTCTGTCTGTACACTGGGAGAACTGTTGGACAAGAAGCACACGTCAGCTTTAACGTGACTCTTCGGATGGTGTGGGCAGGAGCTTCGGCTCATCGGTGGAGCTACACAGATGCTGTGTGGGACGGACCCTGCACGGGAAGGCAGCGTCTGTCTGCATGTCTGTCTGTCTGTCTGTCTCGCTAGAGAGAAGGCTGAATCCCTAAATGTGTGTGCTGTTCATGGGATGCTGTGTGGCTAAGGGCTCAGAGTGGTCCTTGCTGCCCCGCTACGGGTGTTTCAGAGACAGGGGCAGCGGACAGGCAACGAGCTGGATGCCGGTGTTGGCGGTGGCCTTAATGATGTCCCACAGAAAGAAGTTAATCCAGCATATGCTCTGTGAACAACAGTCTCAGTCATGTGTGTCCTCTTTGCTGAGGAGACTCTGAATAGATTACAGCCATGACATCATTGAGACATGGAGGGGGACAGTGCTCACTAGGATGTTAGTCACACTCACCCTTGGTTTCCAAAGGGGAAGGGAGCGCCGTGACAGCCCTAAGCTCTGTTTGCGGCTCCCTACCATTGTGCGATTGCTTTTCAGGGACTTTTGGTTTCTCACGTGGCAGATGGCAAAGATGATCCCATGGGGTGAAACAATAGACTATAGTACAGTGGTTCTCAGCCTGTGGGCTATGGCCATTGGAAAGTACCTATTTCCAGTGCTCCCAGGACTCTGCTCAGGAGCAAGATTCCTGTTATAAAATAGCAACTAGAAACGCTTTATGGCTGGGGTCAGCCCAACACGGGCGCTGTATTAACGGGTCACAGCGCTGGGGAGCCGAGAACTGCGCTTTGGTGCTAGAGACCACACTCAGGAGTGATACAGATAAAACTTTAGAGTTTCAATTGATGGCAGTCTTCTCTGTAACAAGAATTTTAAGTGGCGACATTTAAAAACAGTGACAGAAATGATTAGTAACACCTCTTGGTGTTTACTTAGTTTTCGTAATGAGGAAACTAAGAAATAAATATGAGGCTTTCTGATGAAAACCTGTGCCTGGAGAGGGCCGGACGGATGCCTCACGGAGAACTGGCTACTCCTGCAGAGAACCTGGCTTTGGATCCCAGCACCCACGTGGCAGCTCCAAGGCATCCATAGCTCTAGTTCCAGGGGATCTGATGCCTTCTTATGATCACTGTGGGCGCTAGGTGTGCATGTGTTGTGCACGCGCACACGTGCAGACGAAACCCTCACACCCGCTGAACAAAAACAGACTAAAGCCTCCATTTAACTCTCCCACTGGGAATGTAAGGGCACAGTGTCCACTTTCCACATGAAAACAACGTTCTTGTGTCTTACGCTAGCTCACGGGATTTCCAGGACTGCTGAAATGAATCGGTTACTACAAGGTCCAGGAGAACAGGATTCGTGATAGCGCTTGGGATTTGGGACGGTTAAAATCTGTTTCAAAATGACTGAAAAGAAAAAAGCAATCTGAAAATGATGCAAAATGGGGAAACGACAAAATGCAGGAACTCAATGGACACCAGGCTGTGACAGAGCCGAGAGCTGGAGGGCAGCGGGGCGAGCACGGCCGGCCCTATGCGTGGCATTTTACACCCTGTCTTTCCAGGCCCACAGTCGGCATGGATACAATCACGCGTCAAGTGCAGTTTCAGAATGAATGGGCGCCTTTCTACACATGGCTCCCAATCACGTATGACCCACAGGTCTCAATTTATAGGCCGCTAAGATGATAGAGGCGTGCCATCAGACATGGTGTGTAGCAGCAGGAAATACATAACAGGTCAGTCTTGTTAAAGCTGAATTCTTATTTCACTGTAGGTAGCTGCCACTTCTAAGAATGAGTAGCTTTTTATTATTAAATCTTCTGGAGGAGAGGCAGAGAGGGGAGCAGAGAAAAATGTAGAGCTCAAAAAATTAATAAAAAAAATTCTGAATTATGCAAATGTCAAAAATACACAAGAGAGAGAATAACGTGAACTTCCACACAGTTCTCTCAGCTCCAGCAATTCCCAACAGAGCCGTTCCAGTTCCCTCCTCCATCCACACCTCTGTCACTTCCAGCACCCGTGGCACCACACATCGTCCAGGGGCCTTTGTGAGTAGTCGGGTGTGGTGGCACACACCTTTAATCCCAACATCTGCCTGTCTCGGAGAAACCGCTTTTCTTTTTTCTTCCTCTCCTCTCCTCTCCTCTCCTCTCCTCTCCTCTCCTCTCCTCTCCTCTCCTCTCCTCTCCTCTCCTCTCCTCTCCTCCCCTCCCCTCCCCTCCCCTCCCCTCC